TACTAGTAAATAATAAAGTGAAATCAATCAAGTAAAATCAAATAGACTTTTACAGATTTATAACCGATTTATATACCGTTACAGTCTTAACTTTACAACCGGCCCTTTGATAACGAACGTGATCCAAATATGGCCCTTCGTGAAAATGAATTTGACACCCCTGTTTATGCAAAATTGCCTCTTTGTTAAAGGAACAGCCTGAAATTTTGGACATAAGACCTCATTTCCTAGTGATCCAGAGTGTTGGAGACGTGTGGAGACACTTTTTGAAATATTCCATCCAGTCCTTGTATTTGCAGAGGTCACTGGTGCTAGGCTAGTGCATGTCAATGGCCATAGTTACACTGCCACTAAAACTCCACAAAACACCCCAAACAAATCTGTTATTACACCAGACTGTCCATGTGAATGTCTGTGTTGATGGAATAATTTTAGAAGTAAAACCAACCTTATATTTGAAGGATTTATGTCTGAGCAGCAGTTGCACTTCCTGATAGAAAGTTTGGCAGCGGCGGACTGATATCACCTGGCACCTATCTTACCAGCAAAGTAAAATTCCGCTGCTGCTGAGAAAATAGTCCCTCAACATGCGATGATTCATGTGATGCAAGGTTAGTCTTACTTCTAAAATTATTCTGTCAACACAGACATTTACATCGACAGTCTGGTGTAATAATAGATTTGTTTAGAATATTTCAAAAAGTGTCTCCACACGTCTCCAACACTCTGGCTCACTAGGAAATCACGTCCTATGTCCAAAATTCCAGACTGTCCCTTTAAAATGTTGTTACCTCCTCAAAAACAGAGCTGGAGTTGTTTTGTTTCATTCACACATGTTTGAGTAATCCTGCATTATTAGTTTGTCTACATCTCCAAAGCTCAAAATACTCTGTTCCACCTTGTGATGTCATGAAGCTGGGGTTATTAGCTACCCTTTTTACCCTTTGACCCTATCAGCTGTGGACTCTCCCAAGGCTCCTTATATCAGTTAGGGATGCCCCGATCACATTTTTTTGCCCCCGATTCTGAGTCCTTTAATTTTGAGTATCTGCCGATACCGAATCCCAATCTGATACTTCTATAAAACATTACAAAATAAACTAAGAACAAAGAATAAGATCCAGGATGTTTGGGGATCAGATTGTGTTGATTTCAATGTGTAGTATTTGGGCTGAACTTAGTGTGAAAAATCAAATGTCCAAAACTTTAATTTGATTAACTTTTCTAACCATGCACCATCATTGTTGAAAATGTTGACTTTTCACAGTCTGGTCTTAGTAAACTTGGTAAACTTAATGAACTGGACAAAACAGGAACCAGACCAGAATCAGATCAGACCTGAGACTCGACTCTGCACAATCTACACTTTGTGTATTTGATATCTGCATGTGCATTACATTTGAAACATTTAGGCTCGTCTATGAAATCCAAATAATACAAAAACCTTACCAAATAAAAAGACTGACAGAAAGACAGAAAAAAGCCCCACAGCCTCTCTCCCAGCCGCCCCCCACTCCCACACACCACACACACACACACCACACCACCACACACCACACACTCCCACACACACACACACACTCCCACACACACACCACACACACTCCCACACACCACACACACACACACACACACACTCCACACACACCACCACACTCCACACTCACCACACACCACCACACACTCCCACACACCACCACACACTCCCACACACCACCACATCCACAAACCCACAGAGGAGTGCACACCACAACATCCCAGCGCTCAATAGACACTTCATGCCGCTGTTTGTTTTGTTTGCAACAAACAGCACCGTGCGATGACGCCATCAGCCACAGAACCACAAGTGCACACACAAGTGCACCTCTAGTACAGCAGGTGCTGGGACAGACAGTCGCGCTGACTGGACGTCCCTGAGCAAATCCCGCGCCCCACAAAAACTGTTGTGTCCTGTGTGTTATATACGTATATTATTTTTCCGATACCTGATCGGCACATAATGTCTGAGTCCGGATCAAGTCCACGCCGATTTCCGATCACGTAATCGGATCGGGACAACCCTAATATCGGTATCAAACAGGTCTCCAAAAATCCATATCGGTCGAACATTAAACAAACAAAAAGACTTGTTACCTGTGGAGAAGGCGATTCCGAGGCAGGTGGAGAATCCGGTGATGGCCAGAATGTCGTCAAAGCTGCCGGCCGCCATCAGGAGCGTGGGGATACCCTGAAAATGTAACACAATTAACATAAAACTGACATGTTCTAATGCAGTTACCTCATGAAAAACACACCTGGAGTTGTGTTTTGTTTCATTCACACATGCTTTGTCTGTCTCAATGCTCTGTTCCACCTTGTGATGTCATGTTTAGTTCAATATGATTAGTTCAATACAATTCCCTTTAATGGATCCTTTAATGTAGACTAGGACGCATGCATTGTACAACAGGCGCAGTTATTTGTTTGCCCACTAGAGGGCACTAGACTCACATTCATGTTCATAAGGTCACAATGGTAATGATTTGTAGACAAAACCACGATCAAACTGCACAAAACATTAGGTGAAGTAGCGTGTTATTAGCAGAGGTGGTAGTGTTACTTCAAAGTTGAAGTACATAGTAGTGGCCCAAGAAATGAGATTTGTCTTCAAATCACTGACTACTGCCACCTTTATGAAAATGATTCTGAACGCAGTGCCATCTTGTGATCAAAGTAGGAACTGTCCATGTTAGTGAACAGTTTATTTAACAGTTGTAAATAAATGTAAAGGGCCCACAGTGTTGGGGAGCAACAGATTACATGTACCAGGTCATGTTACGTAATCAGAGTACAAATTATGAGTAACTGTATTCAGTTACAGTTACTGTTTCAGTGAGTGGTAATTGGATTACAGTTACTTTGCTGAAGTGAATGGATTACATGGCAGTATTTTCCTGTTTTCACATTCATTCCACTCATTCCCAGAAACTAAACCAGGTCTAAAACAGGACTAAAACAGGACTAAAAGCAGGTCTAAACTAGATCTAAACTAGATTTAAACTAGATTTAAACCAGGTCTAAAACCAGATCTAAAACCAGGACTAAACCAGGACTAAACCAGGACTAAAAGCAGGACTAAAAGATAAACTAGATTAAAAAGGATAAACCAGGACTAAACCAGGACTAAACCGGGACTAAAACCAGATATAAAACCAGATATAAAACCAGGTCTTAAACCAGGAAACCAGGTCTTAAACCAGGTCTAAACCAGGACTAAAACCAGGACTAAACCAGGACTAAACCAGGACTAAACCGGGACTAAACCGGGACTAAACCAGGACTAAACCAGGACTAAACCATGCTGCTTGGACCATGTCTCCTCCTCTTCTATCAATAATATTTTTAATTTGATTAAGTAAAGTTTGGGCTTTTTATTTTCTTTTAACAGATAAAACATCTTATGTTACGATTTCCTCGTCTTTGCTTCTCTACAGCAAATCAAGTAATCCAAAGTATTTAGATTACGTTACTCAATTTAAGTAATTTAATGGATTACGTTACAAACTACATTTTGGGATTTGTAATCTGTAATCTGTAGGGGATTACATTTTAAAAGTAACTTTCCCCACACTGAGGACCCATATTGCAGCATTTTTTAAAAATCTATGTTATAATGTTTCCTCATCACAAACAGACCTGGAGATGTGTGTTTTTTTTTATTCACACATGTTTAACACACAGAGCCTGTCCATTTAGACTAAGTTCTTCGTTGCGCACTCTTCCACCTTATGATGTCATGAGGTAATACAAGAAGGGCTCCGCTGTGTTTTTAAACTCCATACACCTTCACTAGAATCATTTGCATAATTTCAGCCCTGGAAACTACTAAACAAAAGGTAAAAGTAGTTGTTCATTCATGACATCACAAGGTGGAACGGAGCACTTTGAGATTTGCAGATGTAGACAGACTAATAAATAAATAATAAAGATATAATAAAGAGTTACTTAAACATGTGTGAATAAAACAAAACACAACTCCAAGTGTGTTTTTGATAAAGTAACAACATTCTAATGGGATTTAAAGCTCAATATCAAGTGAAAAAGCCCAGCCCCTCTGCTCCGAGTCTTCACCTCCACCCCTGAGCTCATTCACCTCTCCTCCCCTCTCCTCTCCTTTTTATGAGTTTATTAGGTTATTCTTAGTGTGTCCAGTAGATGGCAGCAGAAAACACAGGTGAGCAGGTGTGTCTCTGAACTCATTTCATTAGGCCCAGGTGAACAGACAGGCAAAGCAATATTCCACCTGATAGAATTATTACAACTGCACTCAGGGAATAATAGTTTTAAAATTTTATTCAAGTTTCTCAGGGATATTAATTAGATTTATTATTTTGCTTTAGTTAATTGATTACTGTTGTTATTTATTTATTTATTTTATTTTGTTTTGATTGTCACTGAGTCGCATTTCAATTCACACTCCAAATCAGATGGTGGCGTTTAGTTAAAACAGTAAAATGGATTTAAAACCCATGTAAAAGTAATCTGTCTTAATTTATCTGTAAAATGAATATTCTGTTTAATTTAAGTACAATGAGAAGCCTTAGTTAGATTTAAATGCAAATGGATGATTTATTTGATGAAATTCCCCAATTTAAGTTGAAAAGTAGATTAATAAAATTCTTAGAATGTTAAATAAAGCTAAATTGAATAAATAATCATTTGATTGGTAATTGGCATTTAATTGTTTAAATATAATCTGATTTTGGGTAAATGTTAAAGTAGCACTAATTAAAAAAAAAAAAAAAAATATATATATATATATATATATATATATATATATATATATATATATATATATTAATTCATTAAAATTTGTCTTAAAATTATAGAATATTACATTTATTTCAAATGATTAGTCATTTAAAATTGTATACAAAAATACGTTATATTTAAGATTAAATGAATTGGTAAAATGATACATTGGTTAAAATTGTTGCTGTTTAAGTTCATGTGTAAAAGGAATATTCATAAATATTATAATTGAAGTATATTAATTAAGACTAATAGATTAAATGGTTTAATGAAAATGTAAATTTAATTTCATTATTATGCATATTTGTTTACTTTAAAGGTTTTTGACCTGCTACTGCTACTGTTACTGCTACTATTATTACTACTACTACTACTATTACTTACTACTACTACTACTACTACTACTAATACTACTACTTACTACTACTACTACTACTACTACTATTACTATTACTACTATTACTACTACTACTACTATTACTATTACTACTATACTAACTATTACTACTACTACTATTACTATTACTACTACTACTATTACTATTACTACTACTACTACTACTATTACTACTATTACTACTGCTGCTACTGCTACTGCTGCTACTACTACTACTACAACTACAACTACAACTACTACTACTACTACTACTACATCATCTACATCATCTACATCATCTACATCCAAACAGTTTCAGTAAAAATCCTCGAGTTGAGTCTTGTGTCTGTTTTCCTGTTTTTTCAAGTTGAACCTGCATTCCTTCATTCAAGACTTGACCCTCACAAGAGTCCATTTTGTGTAACACAGGAGCTTTACAATTGAAAGTGTAGAGGGAGAAGACAGGGACAGTTCACCTTGTCAACACCGTATCCCTCCTTCTGCAGCAGTAACATGGACGGCACCACCACGGCCGGAGACACAGCAGCCAACACAAACCTACAACACACACAACACACACAACACACACAACACACACAACACACACACAACACACACACACAACACAACACACACAACACACACAACATCAAAATACTGTCACAGAGGAGGAGACACTGGCTGATATTCTGGACCCATATTTGGACTTTTTTAGCAGATCGACTGTGGCCCTAAAGCTGCATTGTGTAACTTTTCTGGTGGAGGATCCATCAAATACTTTTCTCCATGGAGATGTTATTGCTTTGTCTGGAATGTTTCACAGTATGGCTTTAAACCAGACCATACCCAAGACCACGCCACAGGTCAGATCTGTGGAGACGCTACCCCGTTCAGTCAGAATACTTGTTTTTCTAGGTATTTTGTAATTGAATAAATATAAAGTAGAGCTGTTTAATGTCATACTGTGAAACATTCCAGGCAGTGCAATGACATCTCCATAGAAACAAGCCAGCAACAGACCCTCAACCAAAAAGTTACATAGCGCACTTTTAATCTCCATCACATGCCAATACTTTGTTTTAGTCGATCTGCTGAACAAAAAATATACTCAAATCTTTATTTTAACACTTTAATATGAAGAGAAAACTGCACAAATTATAACTACACAGATTTGTAATTTAAAAAAAATAACTGTCTGTGGGCGAATTTGCCTCCATCCATCAATTTTCCTCTGCTTATCCGGGGCCGGGTCACGGGGGCAGCAGTCTAAGCAAGGACTCCCAGACTTCCCTCACCCTAGACACTTCCTCCAACTCCTCCGGGGGGACCCCGAGGCGTTCCCAGGCCAGCTAAGAGACATAGTCTCTCCAGCATGTCCTGGGTCTTCCCCGGGGCCTCCTCCGGGTGGGACATGCCCGGAACACCTCCCGAGGGAGACGCCCAGGAGGCATCCGGAACAGATGCCCGAGCCTCAACTGGCTCCTCTCGACGTGGAGGAGCAGTGGTTCTACTCCGAGCTCCTCCCGTGTGACTGAGCTCCTCACCCTATCTCTAAGGGAGCGCCCAGCCACCCTGCGGAGGAAACTCATTTCGAGCGCTTGTATCCGCGATCTCGTCCTTTCGGTCACTACCCAGAGCTCATGACCATAGATGAGAGGAGGAACAAAGACTGACCGGTAAATGGAGAGCTTCACCTTTCAGCTCAGCTCCTTCTTCACCACAACGGTCCGATACAGCGACCGCATCACTGCAGACGCTGCACCGATCCGCCTGTCAATCTCACGCTCCATCCTCCCCTCACTCATGAACAAGACCCCGAGATACTTGAACTCCTCCATTTGAGGCAGGGACTCTCCAAGTGGAGAGAACCACAACCTCGGACTTAATAGAGCTGATCCTCATCTCAGCCGCTTCACACTCTGCTACAAACCGCCCCAGTGCACATTGCAGGTACTGGTTTGATGCAGTCAACAGGAAAACATTATCTGCGAACAGCAGAGATGAGATCCTGTGGACCACAAACCGGACCCCCTCCGGCCCCTGACTGCGCCTAGAAATTTTGTCCATAAACACAATGAACAGAACCGGTGACAAAGGGCAGCCCTGGCGGAGTCCAACATGCACCGGGAACAGGTCTGACTTACTGCCGGCAATGAACACAGCTCCTGCTCCGGTCATACAGGGACCGGACAGCCCTTAGCAAAGGGCCCCGGACCCCCCCATACTCCCAGAGCACCCCCCACAGGACACCACGAGGGACACGGGTTAGGGTTAGGGTGGACTTCTCCAAGTCCACAAAGCACATGTGGACTGGTTGGGCAAACTCCCATGAACCCTCCAGCACCTGATGGAGAGTGTAGAGCTGGTCCAGTGTTCCACGACCAGGACAAGAACCTCGGATTCAGGAGAAGCGGTGTGGTTTGACTATCCTGTGGGTGAGTTTGCAGTGGATTTAAATTACATCATTTGAAGCCCCTTTATAGTAACAAAAAAGAAAAATCCTTATAGAAAATGTACATCTGCAAAGGAATACATGAAAAAGTATGTATTAAGGTGGGTTCAAGCAGACGACGGCTAAAAGTGTATGAAAGGATGTTAAAGGGTGCAGTTCCCGAGGTGTCCACTGTGGGGGCAGTGTTGTTGTGTTTACCCCAGGATGAAGCCCCAGGTCCAGGGCAGCTTCAACAGGAAGTGAGAGACCACGGCCACGACACAAGCTTCAACCAGACACGGGCCCATCGCCAACCGGATACACACCGCCTTCAGACGCACCAGAGCCTGAGGACAAGAGAGAGAAACAGAAAGAGAGGAGGAGTGAGAAGAGAGAGAGAAGAGAGGAGGGAGAGAGGATACACACCGCCTTCAGACGCACCAGAGCCTGAGGACAAGAGAGAGAAACAGAAAGAGAGGAGTGAGAAGAGAGAGGAGAGGAGGGAGAGAGGAGGAGGAGGGTTAGAAGAGAGAGAAGAAAGGAGGGGGTGAGTGAAGGGGGGAGAGAGAGAGAGGAGTTAGAAGGAAGAAAGAACACAGGAGAGAGAGAGGAGGAGGAGCATTAGAGGAGAGAGAACAGAGGAGGGGGAGAGAGGAGGAGGAATGTTAGAAGAGAGAGAGAACAGAGGAGTTAAAGAGAGAGAGAGAGAGACAGAGGAGGGAGAGAGAGGAGAGTTAGAAGAGAGAACAGAGGAGGGAGAGAGAGAGAGGAGGAGTTAGAAGAGAGAGAACAAAGGAGGGAGAGAGAGAGGAGGAGTTAGAAGAGAACAGAGGAGGGAGAGAGAACAGAGGAGGGGTTAGAGCGAGAATAAAGGAGGGAAAGAGGAGGAGGGTTGGAAGAGAGAGAACAGAGGAGAGAGAGAGGAGGAGTTAGAAGAGCGAGAATAAACGAGGGATAGAGAGGGGAGGGGATTATAGGAGAGAGAAGAAAGGAGGGAGTGAGTGAAGGGGAAAGAGAGCAAGAGAGGGGAGGGTTAGAACGAAGAGAATGAATGAAGGACAGAGACAGAGAGGAGGGGGGTTGGAAGAGAGAGAAGAAAGGAGGGGGTGAGTGAAGGCGGAGAGAGAGGAGTTAGAAAGAAGAAAGAACAGAGGAGAGAGAGAGGAGGAGGAGTTAGAAGAGAGAGAATAAAGGAGAGAGAGAGGAGGGGGGTTGGAAGAGAAAACAAAGGAGGGGGTGAGTGAAGGAGGGAGGGGTTAGAAGGAGAGAAAGAAAGGGAGGGACAGAGACAGAGGAAGAGGAGGGGTTAGAAGAAAGAGAGATGGAGAGAGAGGGAGAGGAGGCATTGGAAGAGAGAATAAAGGAGGGAGAGAGAAAAGAGTATAAAGGAGGATGAGAGAGAAAAAGGGAGGGAGAGAAGAGAGAAAAAAATGAGGGACAAAGAGGGAGAGAAAGAAGGGAGGGTTCGAAGAGGAGGGAGAGAGAGATGGTTTGGTGCAGATTGCGGAGGACATGGAGCAGAGGAGAAGGTCAGGAGCAGAGGAGAAGGTCAGAAGGTCAGAGGAGCAGAGGAGAAGGTCAGAGGAGAAGGTCAGAGGAGCAGAGGAGAAGGTCAGAGGAGCAGAGAGAGTCAGAGGAGCAGAGGAGAAGGTCAGAGGAAGCAGAGGAGCAGAGGAAGGGTCAGAGGAGAGAGGTCAGAGGAGCAGAGGAGAGGTCAGAGAGGAGAAGGTCAGAGGAGCAGAGGAGTCAGAGGAGCAGAGGAGCAGAGGAGAGAGTCAGAGTCAGAGGAGCAGAGGAGAAGGTCAGAGGAGCAGAGGAGAGGGTCAGAGGAGCAGAGGATGGTTCTGGACCTGTGGGTTGAGTCCGAGTCCGGCTCTGGTCAGGATTATGGCCAGAGCGATGTTCCTGAGAGCAGAAGACCAGTGCGGATCGATGTAGACCGCGTCACAAATGTACGGAACATTCCTCAAAACCAGACCAGCCAAAAGCATCCCTGAAACATACACGGAGTCAGGACTGAGGACTAAACCAGGACTAAACCAGGACTAAACCAGACTAAACCAGGACTAAACCAGGACTAAAACCAGGACTGACTGACCAGGACTGAACCTAAACCAGGACTTGAAAACCAGGACTGAACCAGGATTAAAACCAGGATTAAAACCAGGATTAAAACCAGGACTAAGACAGGACTAAGACAGGACTAAGACAGGACTAAGACAGGACTAAGACAGGACTAAGACAGGACTAAGACAGGACTAAGACAGGACTAAGACAGGACTAAGACAGGACTAAACCAAGACTAAACCAAGTACGCAACAGGACTAAACCCGAACAAACTAGATCTAGATCCAGGGCTAAACCAGGATCAAAAGTGGACTGATCCTGAACTAGCCCAAGATTCTACCAGTACTAACCTGGGATCATATCAGACCTAATCCAGGACTGTCCCTGAACCAAACCAGGTCTAAATCAATCCAATCCACTTTTTTAAATTTCTATAGTACATTTCACAAACAAACTGTTTCCAAAGTGCTGCACAAATACATAATAATAACAACAATAATAAGATGATCAAATAAAATACTAAAACAATAAGTCAGAAATCAGGAGTGTAGAACTCACCGAGCAGTGGGGGGAAGGGGGGCAGGGTGGGGAACTGGACCAGGCCCATGAGCTTCCCTCCGAGGACGGCGCAGATGAAGAGGATGGTCAGGCCGAAGAGGTTCCCCCCAGGCAAGCACTGTGACCCTGTGATGGACCAGACCACACCGAAGAGCAGGGCCAACAGGCACGCTGTGGACCAGGACGGGACCGGGGTTAGACCAGGACAAGACCAGGACAGGACAGACCCAGGACAGAACCAGGACAGAACCAGGACAGAACCACAATGTTACTATGGAAGGAACCAGCAGGGAGCAGTGGAGCAAAAACTCTAAAGGTTTTTCTGCAGTCTCTGGTCTTCCTGAGCTGCTCACGTCCACCTGCCCTGCTCACCTCCATGATCCAACATTTACATGAACCTTTGTAAGATTTGTATCATGTTCTCCTCGGGGTCACATTGACCCAAAGAACATTTTTTTGTTCCTTCCTGCTCTCTTGGGGCGGGTCAGTCACACCCAAAAATACATTTTCTTGCCTGGTGAGAATTTATTTGAAAATAAATTTTTGGGTCTGATTGACCCGTCCCAAGAGAGCGGGAAGGGAAAAAAAAGAATTGGGTCAATGTGACCCTGAGGAGAGTGTGAGGGTTAAAATTTTGCCCGGAGGGGAAGCTGAGCTCAAATATGGGCACTGGCCTGCGACCTTGTGCCCCTGTGCCCCCTGTGCCCCCTGTGCCCCCTGTGCGCCCCTCCTGTCTGTGGTGATGAGTCTGTGTGTGTCATGGCCAGACCTTTTTAAGACCACTTAAATGAAAATGAAGGTCCTACATCTAGAAAGTAAGACTACGTTTATATGATGACGGTCTGAATAGAAGACAGAAAAGTGGTGTCATGTCTTCACTTTTTATTCCCCCTTTAGACAAGTGTTTTCAGGAGGAAATCTGTGTGCAAACGGTGACGCAAAAATGTGTAGAATTGGATTGGTGTATGATGTCAGGTGGTGACGCTCGGTGGTGACGTAAACACGTATGTGACGTAAACACGTATGTGACGTAAACACGTATGTGACGTAAACACGTATGTGACGTAAACACGTACGCGACGTGTCTAAACGAAAGGCACTTTGTTTTTTTCCGGACCAGGGGGGAAAAAAAGCATTAAATTCTGTTCATCTGAGATGAGAGAAATGTCGCTCTGTTCAAAATAATGGGTGACCAATGAGCTCCTTTGTTTCAGATGCATCAATGACATAACAGAACGTGTGGGGCCAGACTGAATGTGAATCAAACACACAGACATGATTCTGTTTGACAAGCCTACAGGGCAGGTCAATCAAAAAATATCTTTAAATACAAAACTGTGTAATCATTACCTTTTGTTATGACGAGGTTGAGCAGTCCTCTGGGTCGGGGACATCTCTCCTTCAGGGTGTCACACACAGAACAGCACCCCCTCATGTCGTCCTGAGGAACACACACACACAAACACCACATGATTCTATGTTTGGTGCTTTTCATTTTATTTACTCAATGCTGTTTATGTTGTAGTATAATCCTGTTATGGTCCTGGTTTAGACCTGGTTTAGTCCTGGTTTAATCCTGGTTTAGTCCTGATTCAGTCCTGGTTTAGTCCTGGTTTAGTCCTGGTTTAGACGTGGTTTAGTCCTGGTTTAGACGTGGTTTAGTGCTGGTTTAGTCCTGGTTTAGACGTGGTTTAATCCTGGTTTAGTCCTGATTCAGTCCTGGTTTAGTCCTGGTTTAGACGTGGTTTAGTCCCGGTTTAGTCCTAGTTTATTCCTGGTTTAGACGTGGTTTAGTCCTGGTTTAGTCCTGGTTTAGTCCTGGTTTAGTCTTGGTTTAGTCCTGGTTTAGTCCTGGTTTAGTCCTGGTTTAAGACCTGGTTTAGTCCTGTTTAGACCTGGTTTAGTCCTGGTTTAGACTGGTTTTTCCTGGTTTAGTCCTGGTTTAGTCCTGGTTTAGACCTGGTTTAGACCTGGTTTAGTCCTGGTTTAGACCTGGTTTAGTCCTGGTTTAGACCTGGTTTAACCTGGTTTAGTCCTGGTTTAGACCTGGTTTAGTCCTGTTTAGTCCTGGTTTAGACCTGGTTTAGTCCTGGTTTAGACCTGGTTTAGACCTGGTTTAGTCCTGGTTTAGACTTGGTTCTCAGGTGTCAGGAGTGTGAGATTTATGGCTCTGGCTGATAACCTGTGACCGCTCTAAGCATAGAACTTCTAAACCAGGTCGAGTTTTACTTTTACAATGTTTGACAACAGAAAGAAGTGGACTAAACCAGGGCTGAACCAAGACTAGACCCAGAATAAACCAGGACTCAACCAGGACTGCACTCGGACTAAACCAGGTTTAAACCAGTTGGCAATGATTCACGAGATCAAAGATTTAAAGCTGGACCAAAAAGAATGTTTAGTAAATTTTATCAAGGGGAAAAACATTATTGCCCTTCTTCCTACGGGATTTGGGAAAAGATTAATATACTGTATTTTCCTCACTGTCACAGAATATTTCCGCACTGTCATAGAATGGTCTATTTTCAAACTTTTTTCACAAATAAACCGCACCAGACTTTAAACGAAACACAACAGTTGGATGGGTCAGTAGGACTTTAAAGGCTACATTCAGACTGCAGGGCTTAACGCTCAATTCAGATTTCTTTGTGAAATCCGATGTTTTTGTGAGGTCGTTCACATTTCCAATTAAATGTGACTTGTATGTGATCTCCTGTGTGAACGTTAAACAGCCCGAAAGTGTCCCACATGTGCACTGGAAACACGACGACGTCAACAGCAGTGAGCGTCTCTGTGTTTACAGAAGTTGAACAAACATGGACGCAGCATCGAGCACCTGGAGATTTTAAAGTTCCTTTCGTACCGGAGCCAGAACATGAACAACTCACTTGTTTTAAAGGTTGTCTAGAGGATTTTTTTAAGGGAAGAGAAATACAGCGACCGTCCTTGTGAATGTGTGACACTACCTTCTTCCTCCACACCTTCCTCAGTAGAAACATCTCCCACCTTTACTCCAGAAATCACATTTGTTTACAGCCAGTGCACGTTCAGAATTACTGTTAAAGTTTCCTGTCTAGAAATAATTTATCGACCAACGCATCAATTTTTAGACCCTTCGTCTTTAGACGCTTTAGTCGCGCCATCGCTGGAAGGAATCTCCAAGAATCACCACAGTTTGACTTTGCTCCTTTTCTCCTTCTCTTCTTCTTTCACTGACTTTCTTTTGCGGCGAACTGGTCGTAGATTCTCGTCCGATATCGCAACAAACTTTGTGCGAACTGCGAGGAAGGTACAGTTTGAAAAAGCCTCAAAGAACCGCTGCATAAACCACGTAATCCCCACACGCTGGCGAGTCAGTTACACTAGGGCGTTTGATTGACAACCCAACAGCCAATAGAAAATGAGGCAGCCTTGTTTTCTATTGGCTGATGTTTATCTGGCCTCAACCACGTAACATTTGTGTTGTAAAAAGAACGAGCCACGAGTGTGTTCAGCTGTTCTGACAAAGGTGAACACACACATCAATCAAAAGTTTAGAATATGTTTTGGTCAACAGTAAAAATCTGGAAAAAGTGTGGTGTTCTAAAACGTTTGATCGTAGTGTCTTTGACCATGTTTGTTCCTAGTTTGGGTGTAACCGCAGCTGACGCCCGATTGCGCCTTGCAGACACCCTGATCCACAGACTCGGGGTTCTCTCAGGGGCGGAACTAGATTCCAAGTTCTAGTCCAAGATTAGTCCTGGTTTAAACCTGGTTTAGACCTGGTTTAGTCCTGGTTTAGACCTGGTTTAGTCCTGGTTTAGTCCTGGTTTAGTCCTGGTTTAGACCTGGTTTAGTCCTGGTTTAGTCCTGGTTTAGACCTGGTTTAGACCTGGTTTAGACCTGGTTTAGTCCTGGTTTAGACCTGGTTTTAGACCTGGTTTAGACCTGGTTTAGTCCTGGTTTAGTCCTGGTTTAGACCTGGTTTAGACCTGGTTTAGTCCAGTTTCCTGGTTTAGTCCTGGTTTAGTCCTGGTCCTGGTTTAGTCCTGGTTTAGTCCTGGTTTAGTCCTGGTTTAGTCCTAGTCCTGGTTTAGACCTGGTTTAGTCCTGGTTTAGTCCTGGTTTAGTCCTGGTTCCTGGTTTAGACCTGGGTCAGTTTCCTGGTTTAGTCCTGGTTTAGTCCTGGTTTAGTCCTGGTTTAGTCCTGGTTTAGTCCTGGTCCTGGTTTAGTCCTCCTGGTTTAGTCCTGGTTTAGACCTGGTTTTAGTCCTGGTTTAGTCCTGGTTAGTCCTGGTTTAGACCTGGTTTAGACCTGGTTTAGTCCTGGTTTCCTGGTCCAGTCCTGGTTTAGTCCTGGTTTAGACCTGGTTTAGACCTGGTTTAGACCTGGTTAGTCCTGGTTTAGTCCTGGTTCAGTCCTGGTTTAGACCTGGTCCAGTCCTGGTCCAGTCCTGGTCCAGTCCTGGTCCAGTCCTGGTCCAGTCCTGGTCCAGTCCTGGTTTAGTCCTGGTTTAGTCCTGGTTTAGTCCTGGTTTAGTCCTGGTTTAGTCCTGGTTTAGTCCTGGTTTAGTCCTGGTTTAGTCCTGGTTTAGTCCTGGTTTAGTCCTGCCTGGTTTAGACCTGGTTTAGACCTGGTTTAGACCTGGTTTAGTCCTGGTCCAGTCCTGGTTTAGTCCTGGTTTAGTCCTGGTTTAGTCCTGGTCCAGTCCTGGTTTAGACCTGGTTTAGTCCTTGTTTAGTCCTGGTTCAGTCCATATACGGCGCTAAAGCGCATCAGCATCTTCGCAGGTTTTTTGGTGAGTCATTTAAAAGTGCTGTAATAGTCGTGTAATGCTTCACATATTGTAATGTAACGAATGAGTTTGAAATGACAGTAACGAGTCATAAATAACACATTATAGTCTTAAAGTCACTTGTCCAACAGTGTCTATAACATTGTTATCTCCTCAAAAACATGTCTGGAGTTGTGTTTTGTTTCATTCTCACGTGTTTGAGTAACTCTTTATCTAGTCCGTCTCTATCTCCACAAGTACCTTTTACCTTTACTTCAGAAGAGATTGACAATTCCACGGCTGAATGATTGTAGTGAAGATGTGTGGAGTTTAAAAACACAGTGGAGCACTTCCTATATTAGTACAAGACATCATATTTCAGCTTGAGCTCAGCCTAAAATTGCAGGATTTGTGCATTAAACATGTTTGAATGAAACAAAACACAAATCCACATTAGAACACCTCAGAAAACAGCATAATATGGACTTTTTAACCCATACAGTGTCATTTTTCTATTTAAATAAGTGTAGAAAAAGCAAGATATTGTGTTAAAAATATTCAACTTGTAAACTGCTGTTGTGTTGCATCAGTGGGTAAAGTCCCGGTGACCCCTGCCCAGTCTAGATTACACTTTAACTCATTACCTCCTGGCTCTGGTCCTCGTGCGGGTCCGATGAGTCCTGGGTCGGGTCCGCGCGGTCCGGTCCTGGTTTAGTGCGGTCTCTGGACTTGGTCTGGCTCCCGGGCTGCACATGGATCTGACCGCACCCCTCCGCCCTCTGCTCCTTAGCCCCGCCCTGCTTGGAGAGTCACAGGAACGGAACATGACAGACAGACGTGACAGCGCGGGGGGATTAAGGAAAATGTGTGAAAACAGTGACGAAAGCAGGTCTGGATTTACAAGAGCAAATAAGAGCTGATCCAGGACTAAACCGGGATTTCAACAGAATTACACCTGGACTATAGGCCGGGACAAAACCGGGACTAAACCAGGATTAAACCATGGCTACAAAACAGGACTACATCAAGAGTAAACCAGTATCAAATCTGGACTAAACTAGAACTAAACCAGGACTAAACCAGTATCAAATCTGGACTAAACCACGACTAAACCAGTATCAAATCTGGACTAAACTACAACTAAACCAGGACAAAACCAGGACAAAACCAGGACAAAACCAGGACAAAACCAGGACAAAACCAGGACAAAACCAGGACAAAACCAAGACTAAACCAAGACTAAACCAAGACTAAACCAAGACTAAACCAAGACTAAACCAGGATTAAACCATGGCTACAAAACAGGACTACATCAAGAGTAAATCTGGACTAAACCAAGACTAAACCAGTATCAAATCTGGACTAAACCAGGACTAAACCAGGACTAAACCAAGACTAAACCAGGATTAAACCATGGCAACAAAACAGGACTAAATCAAGAGTAAATCTGGACTAAACCAGGACTAAACCAAGACTAAACCAGTATCAAATCTGGACTAAACTACAACTAAACAGGACTAAAACCAGGACTAAACCAGGACTAAACCAGGACTAAACCAGGATTAAACCATGGCAACAAAACAGGACTACATCAAGAGTAAATCTGGACTAAACCAAGACTAAACCAGTATCAAATCTGGACTAAACTAGAACTAAACCAGGACTAAACCAGGACTAAACCAGGATTAGACCAGGATTAAACCATGGCAACAAAACAGGACTACATCAAGAGTAAATCTGGACTAAACCAGGACTAAACCAGTATCAAATCTGGACTAAACCAAGACTAAACCAGTATCAAATCTGGACTAAACCAGGATTAAACCATGGCAACAACACAGGACTAAATCAAGAGTAAACTAAAACTAAATTAGGATTTGACCAGGATTAAATGAAGTATAGATGAGTACTAAATCTGGACTAAACCAGGACCTGATCAGGATTAAACTAGACCAGGACCAAATCAAGACTAAATCTGGATTACACTAACTAAACCAGGATTAAGACAGAGCCATAAACCAGTTTAAAAAGAACTAAACTAAAACTAAATCAAGATTAAATTAAGATTTGATCAGGTTTAAAACTAAGACTAAAACAGGACTAAATTAGGACTGGAGTTGGATTAAACCAGAGTTCTAGACCAGGTCTAAAACAGGACTAAACCAAGACTCATCCAGGAAGACCAATCTTATTTCCATGCTGGCATTTATGTGTCTTTTAAAGCAGAGTGGTTTGCCTGTCTCCCCCTCAGTTGGAGGTTGTGGGTTAGACTCCAGGTTTCTCTGAGTGGAGTGCCTCCCTGTGTTACTGTGGCAGAGTGGTTAGCCTACGCTCTGAGGTTACACGGACCAAGGTCTTGGTCATGAGAAGTTCTCACGATTTTACAATGTGTGAGAGTGAAGATTTTATCACTTTATTGATATCTTGACAAGGACAGTAAATCATCACTATGTGAAAGGTCTCCATAGTAAACAGAAGTAAACCAGGAGGACTAGAGCAGGACTAAGCTAGAACTAAACCAGAACTAAACCAGGTCTAAACAAGGATTAAAGGGCCCAGATTACACTATTTTCTGATCCATGTTCTAATGCTCTTTCAGACTGGAGTGGTGTTTTGTTACATTCACACATGTTTAACTCACAAACCCTGCACATTTAGGCTGAGTTCTCCTCTCAGACAGAAAACACTCTGTTCCACCTTGTGATGTCATGTGGTAATGCAGGAAAATAAAATACATACACTAGATTCATTTGGATGACTTCAGCTCTGGAAATGTGAGTCTTTGCCAAACAAAAGAGTGAAATGTAACATGAAAACCACTCCATGACATCACAGGGTGGAACAGAGCATTTTGATCTTTGGAGATGTAGATGGTAATATAGCTTTACTCAGACATGTGTGGATTATAACATGTCATAAAGCTCAGAGTCAGAGTTTAGTGTAATACAGGACCTTTAACACTAAAAGTAGGACAGTTTAAGGTGTCTATTCTTTTTTTTTTATAACATCTTAATGTTTTTATTGGATGGTGTGTTGTCATGTACAGCTCTTTTTCTGTTTGGCCCAGGCACAATCATTTTTATCTCTTGATAACGAGGTTCTATTGGTTAAATAAAGATAACAATAAATAAACAAACAAACCAAAACTAAGCCAAAGGAGTAAACCAAGAAAAACTCAAGACTTAAAGGTGCACTAACTTTTCGGTTGGGGGTCCTTCACCTTCTTGTTTCCTTGGAGATGTCATTGCTCTGCTTCGAATGTTCCACAGTGTGACATTAAACAGCTCTTACCTTACATTTGATCAATTACAGGTGGGTTTATAGCTCAAAAATACCTCAAAAAAGGTCACCTCTCTACAGATCTGACCTGTGACTTGGTCTGGTTTGGTCTACGTAATAGAAAGGTTAATGCCATACTGTGAAACATTCCAGACAATTCATAACATCTTCATGGAAACACCAGAAATACTGCACCTTTTAAGTACAAAAGCTGTTCTAAAATAGATTTAAAGACGCACTGTGTAACTTTTTTGGTTGTGGGTGTGTCACCTGCTTGTCTCCATGGAGATGTCACAGTATGGCATTAAACATATCCATTTTGCATATACATGGATTTTTCTTGACCTAAAAACATGCATTCTTACTGTGCATGTGCTCGCCTCTAAACAGATCTGACATGTAACTTGGCAATGTGGCGTCAACTGTTGTCTCTGTAGAGATAAATAGATGCATCAAAAATGTCGGACTTCCAGTCACTGCGCAATTCATACTGGGAAGGATTTTCCAAAAAAGTGAGCATCAAACCTCCATGTTTGTTTTCCCAGTGGGATGCATCTATTGAAAAAGTCGATCTTTTCTAGTCTTTTAAACCATATCACTTTTGTTTCTGGTTCTGATATTGTCATATTTTAGTTTTGGGATTCAGACATCGTAATTGTGTGGTTGTTGGATCCTAATAGCGGAAAAAGGCTTGAGAAATTTGTTTGCGAACTCCATAAATGCAAAAGTGAATCAGATGTGTGTGACTGTAAACCTCTGTTCAAACTGTTTCTCTTCCCAACAGAATTGAAAAACAGTGAAAGGTGAAGGTGATGGGCAGGATTGAGCCACAGGAAGAACCAAAAAGGAAACATTTGACTGACCTAAATCATCCTGAGTTTGCAGTGAACATTTTGTATGTGGAGTGACAACAAAGCAAAATCCCGATCCCTTACTCCACCTTGGTTATGAATTTAAAAAGTCAATGTCAAAGCGAAAGGCACCAACTGTTCACCAAGAAACACCTTCCACTGCAAAGAGACCAAGACATGATGTTGCTGTAAAACCACAAGAACAAGAAAGTGCAGCTCAGTCTGTTTGTCTTCTGCACCTCTCACTTAACAAACAGGATCCTGCTTTGATGTCGCTCCACATACAAAATGTTCACTGTAAACTCAGGATGATTTAGTCAGTCAAAGGTTTCCTTTTTTGTTCTTCCTGTGGATCAATCCTGCCCATCACCTTCACCTTTCACTATTTTTCAATTCCGTTGGGAAGAGAAACAGTTTGAACAGAGGTTTGCAGTCACACACATCTGATTCCCTTTTGCATCTTATGGAGTTCGCAAACAAATTTCTCGATCTGTTTTCCGCTGTTAGGATTCAACAACCACACAATTACGATGTCTGAATCCCAAAACTAAAATATGACAATATCAGAACCAGAAACAAAAGTGATATGGTTCAAAAGACTAGAAAAGACTCGACTTTGTCAATAGACGCATCCCACTGGGAAAACAAACATGGCAGTTTGATGCTCATTTTTTTTGGAAAATCCTTCCCAGTATGAATTGCCCAGAAGTCCGAAATTCTTGATGCACCTATAAATGTAATGCCATACTGTGGAACATTCCGGGCAGTATCTCAGTGCGACTTTAAACCAGATCTAAACTAAAACTAAAACAGCTGAAATTTTTACAGAATCAGCAACCAAAACCTATGAATTTATCTCACGCAAAAGAAGTTAGATAATTATTTTTAAATAT